CCCCAAAACCCCAAAACCCCAAAACCCCAAAACCCCTTAAACAGCGCAAATAGTTGAAATAAATCAGCTGGTCAGGAATTTGCCTGAGCTTATTAAAAGATCTGATGAGAATGTTGAGCTTTAAGAATAATAATTTACACTGCAGAGGGTCTTCTTGGTGAAGCGGCTTGGTGTACATGTTTCCTCACTTTCAGTGAAATTAGCAATGACGTTTTCCAGTGAATTCTCTTCCTTGATGTTGATATAGGTGCATTCTCATTTTGGTATGACTAGTTTTACATAGTCCAGTTCTCTAAGCGGTGAGATTGTGGGAGATTAGAGACTTACTTTTGACTCATGAGGCCATTTGAGAGGATTTCTTTGATAACTTTATCGGTAGCATATAATAATAAGTCTAAGTAAACTAGTGTCTTAGATAAACAGAGGCGAAGCAGCTGGTAGACCTCTGAAATATCAGGAATGAATGAGAAATAGTTCAGAGTTAGAGCAACTTTTTGACTTTCTGGGATAGCATTGATATACTCAAATGCTTTTCGCAACTCTAATTTTGAGGTTCAGTGAACTTTGAGAGACAAGATCTGGCAAGGAATCAGAACTTTACAAAGCCTCGGTGAGACTTTCATGAACAACTTAGACACATCAGTAGTCTGAATGACTACATAGTTAAAATGGAGCGGTGACTTGTCTCCTTTTTTTTTCTTTCCAAGGACCGGCATAAACTTCTGCAGATACTCTCTAAATTCAATATCTTGAGAGAAGTCTACTTCCTGAGCAGGTGTGTAATTTCGAAGCTCGAGGCTACTTAGATCTTGGATACAAATGTACTGATCGTGGTGCATATTCTCAATTTTCTTACCAAAATTAGAAAGTGCTTTAGTATTCCTTGTGCTGACACTAATTTTATCTGCCATGATCTTCATGAATCTGAACTTAGAACCAATAGGGCATTCAAACACAACATGAGTAGATCCTCTGGTTAGAGAATCTCCTTGGGTGTCTACTGGAAGAGTTTCGGCGTAAAATATTGCTCCAAATGCAGTATCAAGTGAGAAGGTTTTCTTGGGATCCTTGGCTGACTTGAGATGTTTTTCTGAAACACCAAAACTTTCTTTGATAAAGTACTTTACTTTCTCAAATTTGAACCTCTGCAGTTGAATTTCCATTCGCTGAATGTTGCATTTTTGCTCTTCAAATATCTTAAGACAATTACTAGAAGAGGTTTAATGAGGAAACTTACTTTATGTTAGCCGGGGTAGGCTCATACATCTCCATGACTACTCCTGTGGCTGTAGCCCGAAGAGACTCTGGAATGGTGAAGCTACTCCTGTAGATATACTTCATTCAAGAGATTCCAAGCATAAAGTTTCTGGTAGTAGAGAGGGACTTAAGGAAAGAAGTATAGTAAAGCTCACGGAAGTTCAGATAGAATCCGTAGCAGTCTCCGTATCTATGCTCTGTTGAGAGATGGATTGCCCGAAAGTCCTTCAAGAAATAGTCAAGCTCAGGACTGTAGTATGATAAAGTTTCTAGCTCTCCTTTATCCTGAGTAAATTTATCTGTTTGATGATCATGAGCTAATAAGTATTTAAGCAATTTAATTGGATTAAATAAGCTGAAAGAATTCTTACATGAATACTTGTCATACTCGAGTTTTGGCATTAAGTTGATCGACCAGGAATACTCAGTGAATATGAGTTTTACTATAAAAATCAAGACCATTGCGTACATTTAAAGATCCTGTTTTTGAGTGAACCTTCATGATCTTCATCCTTTGGCTCATAATATTTCTGAAATATCTCGAATTCTTCTGGTAGTCTAATTGTAAGAGATATTAATGCTTTGTTATTAGCTTTCTCTGAATGGGTAAGATATCCCACCACTTCTTCGGATAGTCAGTCAAACTCCACTACCTTCAAAGGGTGTTTAGAAGCCAAATTTGTGAAGGCTTTCTTGTTATCTTTCCAATTTCACCAAGTTTTCTTACTCAAATTGCTCATGAGAAACCTCCAGTCATACCAGTAGCCGTAGTAGGGAAGTATATTAAGAGCTACAGAATAAGGTAGAAGTGGGATCACCATGTTGGTCAATTTTTTGTTTGCAGGTTCCATTATAACTGTATCAAGAAAACAATTAATTTGTACATTTTCAAAATTAGCCACTCAGAGTGGGGTTTTGGGGTTTTGGGGTTTTGGGG